CGTAAGAAGTTGAATCGAAATTTCGAATTTCGATTATATATCATATTGTAACGCTCAGACTTCAATTCCCAGATGATTTACAAGATATGGCAGCGTAACTTCAGTTACGCATCCAATAACTATGTAGTATTTGTGCTGAAACTTAATGACTGAAATCTATTCCAATAATGAGGCTGTTAAATTTTACGCGGTAGCTTTATGCTTTGATAATAACATAGCTTTTTTAGGACTCTATCAGGAACGGTACGTAAATAGAAGAATTTTAAGCTGCTCCAATCCCTGTTCACCAGGACAACTTTATCTCCAAATTATAATGCATTCATTTTATGAACGTATTAGGAAATTGGCGCATTTGAAAAAAAAACGCCAAAGTCAAGTGAAGCAATAAGTTAGATAAGCGCTACCAGAACGTTATTTCTTTTCACATCATCTTGCGAGTAAATGAAAAGTCTAAATATATGCTTTTGCATATCGATATGATGCATATACCAATAAATAATGATAATAATGTATATAAAGAAATATCACAAACTCCTAAAAACGGAATCATAATAGGTTAGAAAGTTAAAGTTAGAGGCTTTTGTAATATGTAAAATTTTGTTTGTCACTTTTAATTAGTGATTTAAGATTGATATTCGGATTTTCACCTTTCTTCGCACGTTTTACATTTCTCATTGGACATTCTCTTTTTAGAAGAATGTGTTACTTGCCGATAAATATAGCCAAAGTTTTAAGCCAAAGCTACGTAGCATATTATGACTTACACTATTGTATAGACAAATGTAGCTAATGCATTATCACGATTGAATGTTATTCATAGATGGAATAGCAGAACTTCTATAATTTTGATTAGCAAATACATGCAGTCATAGTTAGATTCAAAATGGGTCAGTCTTTATCGTTATAAGGCTTCGGGGATAATTTTCTAAACTCAAAATCGATGTTTGATCAATTTGTACATAATATTAATATTTAATATAAAATCAACTTTGTAGTAAATCGTTGTATAATTTTACGTAACAAAACTTATACTACGAGTAGAGCACTTACTCAAAAATATGCTCAACAAATAATCAACGTTTGATCAAAAAGCCCCGAAACCCTATAACGGTAGAGACTGACCCAAATTGTATAAATGAATTGTTTATTGATTTTCTTTTGCTAGTTTCTAGAATTTAAAATAATGTAACGACTGATTTGTCAAATATGGAAATAAAAAATTTAATGTAACCTATAATTAAATAGAGTTTTAATATGGAATGTCCAAAATAAAATACAATGTAAATAATATATATAATGTAAATCACGTAAATGAAATAATAAATTAGACATATCTGCTTCTATTGCAGAATTGATAATCTAATAACCAAATTTGAAACTTAAAAAAAATTGAATCGTTTAATGATTTACACGTGGTAAATATGTTTGTTTTATGGACTGAAAACTTGGATACATTGGAGGCTTCAAAATCAACACATAAGTAGCGCATTTGAAAAATAAATAGGATTTTCCAATACAGTCGTCTTTTCACACAATCACACAGTTGGCACACAGTAAATTTTTTCGGTCTTTTTCTTATAAAGTAAATCATAGTTTGGCCTAGAGGTTAGCTACGATTATTGATAATTTTATAAAATTTAATTTTGCTTGGCAACCGATTCTGATTGGTTAAAAGGTATTCGAATATTAACTAACATATGTTAAATGACCTAAGGTCATTTGGGCCTTAAAATGACAAATGACTAGTAATTTGTCATCTGGTCATTTAGGTCATTCCAGGTCATTTACCATCCCTGCGTACAACATACCCATAAAATTAGAGATCTTCATAACCATATTAAGACAAATATCAATAATATTACTGGGAATAGAATGACTTTATCAATATTGACCCAAAATTATTCGAATTCAAAATTGTTTGCTTCCCCAACCCCAAAGAATTCTATGATAATGAAATTAAGCGAAATTACAATTACTTGTATATTTAAAATGTTGCAATTATAACTTTATTAATCTATATTAAACAGATCTATACAATTTGCTGGCAAAAAAACCCCACATTCAAATGATAATCCGAAAAGCATCTAGCGTGTAAATGTGATACTACTGTTGAGGTAGTCAATGACTTCTTGTAAGTTTAATTTGATAGCAGCGAAATGGAGTTCGAAAATTTCTAGTGGCTGAATGTTATCCAGCGAAATACTTCTACAATACATGTAACTATTTTAAAAAATAAACAAGTTAATTAACATTTTTAGTAAATTTTAGCTGAAAAATATATACAGCATTATACTTTAATAAGGTTTCGAACGCTTGTGGAGAAATGTCTCGTATGAATATTTCATACTGAACTCTGTTGCTGCATAAAATTTCTCGGAAGAAAGATGATCGTGCACGTAGAACCGTCGAATGTGCCTCAAAAATACGTGTCGCGACATTTATTTTTATGTCCCAGTGTATTTTTGGGTAAGCAAATCTTGAATGAGCTTTGTATGAAACTCATTATTACATTGCATTTCTTGAGAGTCTTCAAGTGCTTCAAGATCTTGTGGTTCCTCTTGACTTTGAGGCTCGTTATTTTGTTGGTCACCTTCCGAATTTAGTTGATCTTCCTCAGGATTCCCTTTAAGGTCCAATCACGGTAAAAATTCCACTTTTTCTGTGTGTGATGGAGAAAACGGAATTGATAAAGTTGCGAAGTCGACTATGGCCAAATATTTTACAATGTCGCGTTCAAATTCCATTCTATACTATAATATTAAAAGAACTGTTAAATTGGTTCTAGACAAGCACAAACAAGTGTTTAGGTCATAATGTCTTATAGTTCAATGAAATTTTTCTCTAGAAACGGAAGACCTTATAACAAAAAAACCATTTATATCTTGCTTGTATTGTCTATATAAAGAAAATTTTTGTCACGCAAAGGACTTGTTGCTGCTCGTCTTATATATTTCGCTGGATTAAACGAAATCGACTAGCTCTGCAAACAAAGAATTCTTATACGTTTGTCTTGTACTGGACTAAACGAAGTTCTTATGGTAGTAAACAAACCATTTTTGTATTTATATATAAATTTTGTACCTCGGATGGGAATCTGCCTGATTTGAAATCTGGCTGTCCCGATTCAGAATCAGGACAGCCAGATTTAAAATTCTTATACAGGGTACCCAGTTCACTATACTAATATTCTAACACTAATCCTAACCTTACTAATTATTGAACCAGGTACATTCTAAATCTGGCTACCCCGATTCTGAATTGGGACGGCCGGATTCTGAATCGGGCGGATTCATCTGGGAACATGTGATTTTATCATGCATACGTCATAGGGAGAAAATAATTTGATTGATTACATAAATGATCACAAAAATATAGACTAATTAAAATATACTAGTACTTTGCCTGTGTCTTCGTCACGGGAGTTTTAGATTAGTTTTTTTATTTATTGCGCTTTTCAAATTACTGTGATCAGTTATTTTCATACATCACACATCATGGGAAATCTGGGAATCGGAAATCTATTAAAACTCAAACATGTGATTGGTTAAAAATTATACTAGCCAAATGTTTTGCATATATTATGTATAAAATCCCTAATTTTAAATATTTTTAAAAGTCTAATTGAAGATTTCT